AACACTCAGTACCATTTGCAATTAAAGGAGCAAGGCTTCCCTGTCAACAAACTCAATTCCAGGGTTAGGAATTGGGCAGGTAGTTACACTAGATGAGCCTAGTGGCTACAGGAGAGCTAGAAAATAGAAAGTTATATATAAAACAATAAAAATGGCCAAACTCCTACAAAATGTCAAACATGTCAAAAACAAAGTGGCCCAAACTGGATCCTTTTTATTTCATCAAGAGAATAAAGAAAGCAGTGTTAGAATGTAATCCAACGAAAAATAAACATCTATGGGTCCACACTGGTATAAATAGATGACCGCCTGGGGGAGACATGTCCCATGTAGCATTCTAAATTGTTCACATAAGCATGCTGAGGAGAAGAAAGAACCAGTCTCCCTAACATTCAGATAGAATAGTTACAGCTTTCTAGAGAAGGGCAAGCAGAAACTCTGCCACGGAGACACGCATGATAAATGCTACTTACACCAGATAAAAAATGTTAACATCAGCAACTACAATTATGCTGACTATATGTATACTTGATTAGATTAACATGATATCTTAACTATGAGATAGTTCTTAAATCCATAACTCCAGTCTAATCATAAGAAAAGCACAAATCAAAAGGACATTTTGCTAAATTCTTTGCCAGGACTACATAAAATTGTTGAAGACACCCAAACCCTGGAAAATATCAGATTGTGATATTAGAAATCAGGGAACTCAGGGGGGCTGAGGTATGACAATCACAAGTTGAAGGCTAGCCTAGCATAGATAGTAACCAGATCAGCTGAGCCTCCTGTCTCAAAACAGTAACAACAACAAAAAGAAACATTGAAAAACCATGAGAGTTAGAAGACCCCAAGAAGACAAGATGATTGTAATGTGAGACCCTAAGGTGGAAGTGTTAATAAAAAGCAAGCCTACCTGAAAATTCAGAGAATATAGACCTTGCTGGGTGATCAAGTATTTGTACAAGTTCACTAATTGCAATAAATCGATGTGCAGTGATCAAAAAAGATGTGTGGTGTAGAGTGCTTAGGAATACCAAAGAGTATAAAACTCTCTGGACTGCTAAACCTGCTTAATAATAAAAAAGTTATTTAAAAATATAGCAGTCTTGGACTGGAGAAATGGTTCAGTGGTTAATAAAACTGGCTGCTTTCCCACAAGACCTGGATTGGATTCCCAGCACCAACATGGCAGCTCACAACTATCTATAACTCTAGTCCTAGGGGATCTGGCATTCTCTTCTGGCCTCCTTGGGCACCAGACATGCATGCAGCACTCAGACATGCATGTAGGCAAAACACCCATACATTTTAAAATGACTAAAATAAAAATATAGCACTCTTAAAGATGTGAGAGGGATGAGGATGTTCTGTATGAGGTGGAGAGAGAAATGGAATGAATATAATCTACATTTATTGTGTTTGTATATGAGTTTACCAAAGAAAAACAAAAATGAAAATAAACACTCTCTTAAAACTAATAGAGATCTTAAATATTCTGTTTTTCATAGTATTAGGAACTCTGTCTCTTTAATGATAGTTGTAAGGAGAAAAGGACTTCTCAAATAATTATTCTTTGTTTTCAAGAGCTTTTAGAAAACTAGTAAACCTAACCATTGTGACCAAAACACTCAGAAATAGTCTAAGTGACCTAGAACAAGTTTTATATTATGTAAATGTTTGAAAGAGTCAAATGAAATGATAAAATAGTAGCAATGAAGATGGAACATGTCCTGTTTAGAGGATCATTCGTTGGGGAACTTTGCAGGTTGGTAGATCTTTACAGTACACAGTAAACAGGTTGACCAATGCTAGTTTCTTTCCTAAAGAATTGTAATAGACTCTCACATCATAAAATTCAGTTTATTTAGTGGACTCAGATTTCCACATGAGTTGAACTGTATATTCTCTCCAAATATGTTCTATCCCTGAGCCACAGGGAACATGACTCTATTGGGAAGTAGGGTCATTGGGTATGTAGCTAGTTAAAGTAAGGTCAGCGTATAAAAGAGAGGACTCTTGATTCAGCTTTACAGGAATCCTTACAAGATGATGATTATATGAAGCTCCAGAGATAAAGTAGAGTAGTACCCTATGGAGACAAAAACAAGACTTTAGTGACACCCCAGAATGCCAGGAGCTCTGGGAACCACAGAAACCGAAAATGGACTGGAGAGAGATTTCTCTTGAGCCTACACAGAGAACTGCCCAGCTGACATCCTGATCTCAGACTTTTGGCTTCCAGAATTGTTAGACAATAAGTTTCTGGTAATGTTTGGCATCTGGTTTCTGAAATTTTGTTGTGTTAACTCTGGGAAGCTAAAGCAGTACAGTCTCTCCTTGATATCTATAGAGGATTGATTCCAAAATCCTCTGTGATTGCCATGAGCCACAGCAGCTCAAGTCCTTTATATAACTGCTGTAGTATTTTTATATAACATATACATGCCCCCTGAATGCTTGGACTTATTCTAGGTTACTTATAATATTAAATACCACTTAAATACTACGTAAATAGTATTATTAAACATTGCTTAGTGATTAATGACCAGTGAAAGGTCTGTACACCCTTAATTCAGACATATTTTCCCCAACTATTCAGTATACAGTGGTTAAGCCTCAAGATGCAAGAACCACAGATTACAAGGCTGACTGGATTGTGTCATTTCTTAAGGGAAATGCATCCATTTTTTCTATATTTAGAGTCTGAGAAAGCGGCCAATTACTCTACTAGTCCTCTGTAGATCTGAAGCAGACATAGACACTGCATACAACATGGGAACTGCTCCAAACATACCACATTCTATTGGAAAACAGTCTGATGTTGTACTTACAAGAAGCTCCTAGATGCTCCCACTGGCCAGTGGAACATGTAGAAAGAAGTAAGAAACAATCCATTTGATATCATTTTCTTATCACATACGTAATTTGCAGACTATGCAAATAGTATCAAATAGTTTTTATTATTTCTATGTGTGTTATATCAGTGTTTCTACATGTTCATGTGATTGTTCAGGTGTGTATACAAATGTGTATACATGTATAAGTCAGAGGAAGACACTATGCAACTCTGCCAATCATTCTCTGCCTTATTTCCTCTGAATCAGAAGTGTGGCTCTTTCGTTAGGCTGGCCAGCCAGCCAGTGAGTACCCATGGTTTGTCTATTCCCCTCAGTGATGGGATTATAGGTTAGAACATCAATGATAAGCATTTTACTTGGGAACTGGAGATTCGTACTTAGGTCTTAATGCTTGCACAGTAAATGCTCTTATCCATTCAGCACCAAACAACTAGTGTTTGATTATTTCTAAAATGTCAGTGATCACTGTCACACAGAAGCGAGCTTGGATCCCTGAACTCTTGCCTTCTTTCCTTTCTTACACTCATGCTCTGATCTTACACACTGCTAGCAAAGGTAGCTTTTCTACAAGAAAGATTCTCACACATTCCTTACCTCCTGGGATATAAAGGGCTATTCCTTCCCCTGAGACTCCATCAACATTGCTCAGTCTCCATGAACTCTGATTCATCCAGGGTGACAAATATGCCTTCCATACTTCATTCATAGTATCTGTGGTTTATAAAGAAGTCAATATGTAAGGAAAATATAATAAGTCTAAATGTACAACTGGCAGGGGCCAGTAAGAGGGCCGAGTGAGTAAGGGTGATTGCTGTCAAGCCAGATGATCTGAGTTTGATATCTGGGACCCACATGCTAGAAGGAGAGAACAAAACCCTGCAATTTGTCCTCTGACCACCATATACATCCTATATTACACATACTAGCATACACAAAATAAATAAGTGCAAATCTTGGGGGGTGCTTTTGTTTTGCAAGAAAAAAGTAAATATACAACTGGCAACAGACGCCAAGGCTTAAGTATTCATTAAGTGTATTTCCTCCTCTACTACAAATATGTGTGTGTTCATAGTAGATTTTATAAACTACATTTTCTGAATGGCATGTTTTAGTGAGTACCAGTGAAGCCTAAAATGAAGCCTGTTCTTTAAGCTGTGCTTCATTCCAAGCTAAAGCCATGTAAGTACATCAGTCTCATGAATGACCTCAAGAGCATCTCAGCTCACTTGCTCTGGCTGCTATTCTGGAGAAAGAATTATAGGGAAAACAAAACAGGTTAGGAGGCTGTTGTCTAATCACAGTCATAGAAGTATGATAGCTGCACCAGCCAGAGTTAGTAGACAATAGAATTGCAAGAATCTAGATGGAGTTCGAAGACGGAGTATGCAAATTCACTCATAGTCTGATGGAGTGGAGAGGAAAAAGTCAAGTTAAGGATGACTATTTGAAGTAGGCTATTGTCTTAGTTTGGGTTTTATTGCTGTGATGAGATACCATTATCACAGCAACTCTTAAGGAAAACATTTAGCTGAGGGTAACTTACAGTTCGGAGGGTTAGTTCATTATAATCATGATGGGAAGCATGGTGGCACCTAGACAGACATGGTACTGATGAGGTAGCTGAGCGTTCTACATTTGGATCAATAGTCAGCAGGAAGAGCAAGTAAACCACTGGACCTGTCTTGAGCTTCTGAGACCTCAAAGCCCATGCCCTAGTAACACACTTTCTCCAACAATGCCACATCTACTTCAAGAAGGCCACACTTTTGAATAGTGCCACTCCCCATGGGCTTATTGTGGGCCATTGTCATTCAAACCACCAGAGCTATGCAAGGGCTAAAGAATGCTGCTATTCACTGAGGCTCAGAAACAGGATTGAAGGAGCTCTGGGTAGCCATAAAGTCCAGCATTCAGGTGTATCTACATTTGTGAGTGGTCTGTAGGGTTCCCTGGGGGAGCTGTAGAGAAAGCAGGAAGTTCTGCCAGAGCTATAGAACCCTGGAATATCATTAGGGCCAGAGCAAGGGATTTGAGATCAGCTATGCACACTACATGGTTCTATGTGTTTAGTGCTATATTTATGTTTTAATAGTGGAAATCTATCCTGTAAACTACAAAGTCTTTTTTTTTTCTTTTCAGAAATATTCCCAAGAGACTTGACCTTGAAAGACAAATTCATAAAGCATTTCACAGGTAAGAATATGCTATTTCAGTGACTCAGTTCCAAAAAAAAAGACTTTATATAGAATCCAGTCTTAGAAAATGGAGCTATGGAGATTATTGTCTAGAAGACGCTTGTAGTTCTTCTGTGTTTCAGTCAACTGCTATTAACTTGTATGAACTGTAATATGCACCAGAACGCAATAAGTAATAAAATATAAAGTTTTTTTTTTTTTTACAGAAAAATAGGAAGAATGATTTACTGAGAATCATGTGTCTTAGGGTTTTGTTGCTGTAAAGAGATACTATGACCAAAGCAACTCTTATAAAGGAAAACATTTAATTGGGGCTGGCTTATAGTTTCAGTTCATTATTATCATCACTGTGAGAAGCATGGCAGAGTGCAGGAAGGCATTACCTGTGAAATGCTCCTCCAATCCTGTTTCTGAGCCTCAGGCATGGTGCTGGAGGAGCTAGCTGAGAGTTTTATATTAGGCAGCAGAAGGAGAATGTTTGACACACTGAGTGTAGCTTGAGCAGAGGAGACCTTAAATCCTGCCCCCCACAGTGACACACTTTCTTTAGCAAGGCCACACCTACTTTAACATGGCTACTTCCTTATCTGCAGGTGTCTCTGTAAGATACTCAGCAACATCATTTGAAAGTTAACAAATACTGGAGCCATTACAAAGTCCCCTTCAATTACTGGAGGTCAGGCCTCTATCCCCGCCTTCTCATGATTAGAATCACCACAGCCCTTCTATACCTAGAGAAGGGAGGAGATGTCAGGGGCAGCCCTGCTTATACACTGAAGGCCTAAAATCAGCCATAGGCCTAAAATCAGCAACAGGCCTGTCATACATGTATACTAACACGAACTCTTGGGTCTCTGTGGAAAAACATTGAAACAGATGGCTATAAACTACTGTTAACAGGCAGCTTTTGTGGAAATTTACCATCTTGAGTAGTCATAGACCTTGTAAATAGGTAGCCTTGGCGGATAATACCAACTTAGATAAGGACAAGGGAATCATAGGCAGAGTCATAGTGACCTGTCCCCTGAACCTTCACCCAACCGATACTCTGTTCTGAAAGATATCTGTACTCCCCGTGAACACCCACACTAAGGTGTCATACCCTTCCCCACATCCTGCCTTTTTGTGTTTATAACCCCTGTGTTGATAAGTAAAAATTACGATTTGATTTTAAAAAATAAATAAAAATAAATAATAAAAAAAGAAAAGAAAAAACCCAACACAGGGGAAAAAAAAGAATAAGAGACACACTCATTCACACATTCAGGACTCCCATAAAAATACTATACTGAAAGCTATAACATATATACTTGGAGGACCTAGTGCAGACCCAGTCCTGTGTGTGCTACTTCAGTTCTGTGAGATCATATTTCCTCAGTTGATTTAGAGGGTCTTTCTTGTTTTCCTGGTGTCCTCCATCCCATCTGCTCTTGTAATCTTTCTGCCTTCTCTTCTGCAGGGCTCCCTGAGCTCTGAAGGGAGTGAGTTGATGGAGACATCCCATTTAGGGCTGAGTGTTCCAGGTCTTACTCTCTATGTGTAAAGTCTGGCTATGGGTTTCTGTATTTATTCCCATCTGGTGTAAGCAGAACCTTCTGTAATGATGGCTGAATAAAGTATTGATCTACGAGAAAAAAAACAAAACGAAAGAAAGTTAACAAATAGGTGTGTTTGCACTGAACTGTAATTTTACTACTTGGTCTGAGAAAGAGGATCATGACACATGACACCTTGTCTCGGAAAAAAATAAAAACTAAATTAAATATGATAATTAACAGATACAACTCTCAGATTTGAATAAGTAGAAAAAAACATATAGGGAAAACCATGTCTTTCTCCTATTACAAGCCTGGTGTGTAACATAGTAAAAGACAGCTGAGATTGTTAGCTGTAGAGAAGTGAGAGCAGTGTGCGCATATAATCATATGCTTTTCTAGAACATGGACAATAAATTGAAAATGATTCACAACATTAATATGAAGAGCAAAATTGTGTCATAAGACACTCTAGCATCTATTCTTATGCATGCCATAGACTGTATCTACGAAATACTCCAACACCTAAGAAAACGTTGCAGAAAAGGGGGTGGGACGATTTTAAGAGCCCAAGAATCAAGGACCTTGCTATGAGACTGTTTCCTTGTGACATCAGAAGCTACACTCATAAAATATTACCAACTTGACCACTAAAATATGGGCTGAACAAGGAGGACACCAACAAATATACCAAACTGGGAAATGGCCACAACGGTTCAACCCTGCACAAAGAACCCTGTACAAAGAACTACAGGCAACTGAGGAAAGCTGGGAGTAACTTTCTTCATCTGGGAATAACACACCAATTTGTTGTCTGGAGTCAAACAGTAAACCCAGAAAACATGCATACAAGTAGCTTACATGGACTCAAAAGGGAGAGAGAGAGAGAGAGAGAGAGAGAGAGAGAGAGAGAGAGAGAGAGAGGAGCGTGACATATGCTCATCTCTTTCCTGTTTATTAAACCTCAATGCTGCCTTGGCTGAAGCTTAATCTAAATCCTTCAGTGTATCCCTGAAGGCCGTTGGGCATCTGATTTATTCCCATACCTTTCCAGTCCACTGGCCAAATGCAGCTCTTCCTAAGTTTACCCTTCAACCCTTGTCCATCCACACCATCTGCCTGTTCTCTCCCACTATTGTCTGGCTCAGTGGGTTCCTCATGGCCATACTCTTCTCCTTTAAAGCACATCCCACTCCCACTGCAAGCCTTCTCAGATGATGTGGTGGTTTGATTAGGTATGGCCCCCATACATGAAAGCTAGGCAGGGGTGTCCCTGCAAGGAGGCTCAGAGAGGCCATTGTGTGAAGCTGTGAAAGTAAAGTTTGAATTTCCTTGGAGACCCCAAGATGTTAGAGACACTAGGACCATGGGATATCTGCCAAGAAGAGCTTCTAACAGGGAGTGGAACCAGCCCAAGAGAAAGAAGTGTGGCTACTGAGTGTTGGGGAGCTGACTGTGGGCCAGGTGGAAGGAGAAATGTTTTGGTGCAGTTTCAAGACCCTGCCCCCTTTGCAATAATCCTTACACTAATGAGCACACATTACTACAATTAAAAATAAATGTCATCATTAGAAGAATTACTTCCCATTAAGTTAAAAAAAATGTCAAAGAAATCAAAATCACTCTATCTTGGTTGGCTCTTTGCAGATTTTCCTTCAGTCTGGGCTGCTGCCTTTCAGTTATTCTAGAGTTCTACTAGTCAGAAGGTTCCATGATGTGAGATACTGAGAATGCGAAGTGAACTTAAATCAAAGTTCACTGCCTCCCACAGAGTCCGAGTAAAGGGAGGAATTCTTAGGCTAGTTCTTTAAAGGGCAGGAAGGATGGAAACTACAGTTACACCATCTCCATCTACAGAGTGCTAGCAATTTGTTTGGAAGACATGCCTCTGTTTATAATAAGCATTCTTTCCCATTTTCCAGGGCCTGTCACATTTTCAGCTGAATGTCGCAAACACTTCCATCGACTTTATCACAATACCAGGGATTGCTCAATGCCAGCTTGTAAGTTGCCTGGGAAAACTTTAGAAGAAAAAAAAATAAGTTACTCAACAATAAGTGCATATAATTTCATGCTTCAACTGTCTTTGGGTGGGACATAATAGACTAAACATTGGATGAGATGCTATTTATAACCCTTCAGTACTCAAGGTTGTGTGTACTGTTGAAACTATAAGGAATGAGAGATCATATTATGGTTGGGAATAGTTCCAAATCTAAAAACAGCCAGATTTTCCTAAAGACCAGAATGTTTGTCAGGACTGAAACAGTTTATCATTATTCAAATTCCTTGGTATAAATAAAATACTTTTTCACATAAATGAAAAAAAAGTGAGGTGTCTATGAAGTGCAAGTCACCATCCCTTCCTAAGTTATTTTGAAATAAATGTTGTTTATATCATGTCATTTGTACAGTGTGTGCTGGGTTTTTGTGAATGATGATAGCCTGTTGAGCAATAAGCTCTTTTGAATACTTAAGTTACTGGAGTTAATAATTCCAAACATAGCACTAAAGGGCTATCATTCAAAATGCCCAGTTATGATATCATATGGTTAGCTGAATCACCTGTTTCAAATTCCTTTCTAAATCTGAAAATTCCTTTTAAAGTGAGTAACTTTTGAGCATTGTATTCCTTGTCAGCTAGATGACTTTGAGGAGTACTTAACTTTACTTAGGGTGTTGAGTTAGATTTTTATTTTGTTTTTTTTAAATCCTTACATTTAATGACTAGAAAAAAATTAAACACAGTAGTTTTGCTCTAGTTTGCTTCTCTGTTGCTATGATAGAACACTGACCAATAGTGATCAGGGAAGGAAGATTTATTTCAGCTTACACTTTCACATCACAGTCCACTGATTATGGGAGCCAAGGTAGGAACCTCAAAACCAGTACTGAAGCATAGGCCATTGAGGAGCCGTTGCTTACTGGCTTACTCTACATGGCTTTCTTATATATCCCAGAACCACCTTCCCGGGGGTGGCATCACCCCCAGTGGTCTGGGCCCTCCCACATCAGTTATTAACCAGTTATTAATCTAATGGAGGCAATTCCTCAAGTAAGTTTCCTCTGCCCAGTTGATTCTAATCTGTATCATGTTGACAAAATGAAACAAAACAAACAAACAAACAAAAAAACAACTCAATTAACCAACCAAAAACTCAAGGCAAAGACACTGATTAACAGCATAGTTTGGTGGAGAAAGGGCAGTTTGGGGAAATAAACTCTTAGCTGTTTCGAGTTAAGTCACATTTGAAGCTATTTGTTCATTTTAAACTGAAGGCGTCAAATTTCCTTATGTTTTCAGAAGAATGAATGACAAAACCCATGTTAAGCATCTAATATGCTAGGTGCTTTTAAAACTATGGTTGTTACACAAATCAGTGACTAATGTTATTTCTTTCTAATTCATAGCAATTAATTATATGTATCATTACCTTTAAATGGCTTTTCTAGATTATAAAAGATGTGCTAGATTGCTGACAAGATTAGCTGTGAGTCCACTGTGCTCCCAGACCTAGGAAAAGTGTTCTGTGAGTATTTATCTATCTATCTATCTATCTATCTATCTATCTATCTATCTATCTATCTATTAAGCCTATATTTCTATTCCTCATTTCCTTTCCTTCCACCCACCTTGCCCTCTCTGTGGTGGTGAGGATCAAATGCAGGGTCTGCACACAGGAGGAAACCATTCTCTCTACCACTGAGTTGTATTGTGCCAGCAGCCCTATGAGTCTGTCTCAAGAGAATGTTGCCTGTAATCCCTAATTCACAATTCTGACATCCAAGAAACTAAGTCAGGAGGGTCTGAAGGTGACCTCCATTACTTTATTAGTGAGACCCTGTCTCAACAACAACAACAACAATAACAACAACAACAACAACAAAAACTTAAACAAAAAAGACGTCAACAGAAAAATTTGAAGAGTCCAAGAAGCCAGGGAGCTAATCTTAACATAACACAACAGCTGCTGAACTTACTAATGCTTTTTTTACTCTGGTTCAAACTTTATCTCAATGTGGTGTTTTCTGAGTAAATTTAAAACGTCCTCTAAGGGAATGGATACAAAAAATTTTGTATATTTACACAATGGATTATTACTCAGTTATTAAAATCAATGAATTCGAGAAATTCTTAGGTAAATGGATGGAACTAGAGAATGTCATCCTGAGTGAGGTAACCCAATCACAAAAGAACACACATGGTATGCACTCACTGATAAGTGGATATTAGCCGAAAAGCTTGAAATAGCCAAGATTCAACCCACAGACCACATGAAGCTCATGGAGAAGGAAGATCAAGTGTGAGTGCTTCGGTCCTTCTTAGAAGGAGTAACAAAATACTCAAGGGTGCAAATATGGAGACAAAGTGTGGGACAGAAACTGAAGGAGGGGCCATCTGGAGACGATTTCACTTGGGTATCCATCCCATGTGCAGTCACCAAAGGTAGATGGTGATATGGATGTCAGGAAGTGTATGCTGACAAGAGCCTGTTATAGCTGTCTCCTTAGAGGTCTGCCAGAGTCTGACATATTCAGAGGCAGATGCTCACAGCTAACTATTGATCTGATCAAGGGGTTCCTAATGGAGGAGTGAGAGAGAAGACTGAAGGAGCTGAAAGGGTTCGTGGCCCTATATGGAGAGCAACAATACCAGCCAAACAGAGCTCCCCAGGGTCTAAACTACCAGCCTGGGAGCACATAGGGAGGGACCCATGACTCCAGCTGTATATGTAGGGGAGGATGGCCTTGTAGGGCATAGGTAGGAGAGGAGATCCTTGGTCACATGAAGGCTGTACACTGAGTGTGGGGAAATTCGAGGGTGAGGAAGTGCCAGTGGAGGGTAGGTAGGGGCACATCCTCATAGACACAGGAGGAGGGGGGATGGGATAGGAGATTTCTGGGCGGGGAGGGGAGTGGATGGGGTAAGGGGATAACATCTGAAATGTAAATATAATATCCAATAAAAAGAAAAAAATGTCCTTTAAGCAGTTACATTAAGGAATATAAATAGTTTTTCTCAAAGCCTTACCAGAACTTAGTGGTCAAAAATACTTCAATAGTTTTCAGTCTCGTTTTCTTATCATACAGGAGCAATACGCAGATATACAGGTGAACAACTATTAACAGGTTCATCTTAAATGGTCAAATACATACTAGAGAAAAATAGTAGGCTTTAAAACTTTAATTTATGTAGTACACATAAAAACAATAGAGGATTCTGGCAAGATAGAAAGAACAATTAGGTGGTCATGGCAGTGTATGCTGTAATCCCAGCACTAGAGAAATAGAAGCCAAAATGAGTTCAAGAGCAGCCTTGACAATATAGCAAAAGTCAGTCTCAAAAACAAACTAAAGTCATAAAGGAAAGTTAAGTGATAAAGAAATCATGTACTTCAGCCTATTACATGGCAAAGTGAAAAGCTAAACTCAAAGTTGTATGCTGGATCAATCATTCTAGGAGCCCAAGGAAGGAAAGTATTTATTTGTAAAATCATAACAGCTCAATAGAAATTGCAATTATTTTTTAAATTATTTATTTTCATGTGGATTGATGTTTAGCCTGCATGTATGTCTGTGTGAGGGTGCCAGATCCTCTGAAACTGGAATTACAGACAGTTGCTGCCATGTAGGCACCGGGAACTGATCTTGAGTCTTCTGGGATAACAGCCAGTGTTCTTAACCACTGGGCTACCTCTCCAACCCCGATAAGTTATAATTCTAGTTTATAAATGTAGACTCTACACAAAACACTGAAAGAGACTACTGGTTTTGATACATGACTGTTTCTAATCTGAGTTCTTTTCCAGTATGGTACAATGTCAATTGGGTTGTTGTTGGTGGTGGGGTGGTAGTCTGCAATCAGTGCCATAGGCAATTCCATACAAGGAACTTGGTTCTTCTGGTCAAGAAGGTGGGGTGTAGAAGTTACAACTACCTGTATCCTAGAAATATTTCCAAGCATCTTACATTGGCCCGTGTAACTAAATCTATCTCAAATGTTTGCACACCTCACAGACTTAGGAGATGCTGAAACTTTCCTGTGTTGAAAATAATAAACTGTATAGTTTCACAAGTAATACTAAAATGCTATCATGAAAAATAATTAAAATTGTGGTTGTATGTGGTGAATCAGTTGAAGCTGTCTTGTTGCTATTCTTATTATTTTAAAGCAGTCATTGCAAATTAGAAACAATAAGCACTGTGAATTTTGAATATTCACAGCCACAAAATTTTCCCTTGCATTAGATGAAGAAATTGTGCTAACTCCTTTAGTATCCACTGATAAATTATATCAATTGACTGCTTCCAAGCTGTCGCAACCCTTTTGAATTTTCAAACCATTAGTACATAAGAAAATACATTTGGTAAAAGGCGAAAGATTTATACGGTCCAGCTCCCCTGCCTCCCCCCTACGGTCGACCACTAGACTTCCATGCCCTCCAGAAGGGTTCCTGGTATGCCTGGCTTTGCCCCCGTTTCTCTCGATAGAGAGCTTGGCCTCTTGATCATCACAACAAAAATTGGCTTTTTCCTAAACCAAGGCCGCCCTTGATATGGCCGCTAACATTGGGGAGCCTTCCTTTATGACAATATTACACCCCAAACTGACAAATGGTTGGTAAATTGAACATTTACAAGGGACTAGGATGGCTGTGAGTTTGCCCAATGATGGGATTATTGTAGGTCCACTTCCCAGGGGCCTACCCAATGCAGCCGAAAAGGAGTGCGTGGTGCTGGGAGTGGGTGCAGCCTACATGGCCTAAGACAGGGCTCTCACCCTCCTTTCACCCACATCGGAGTCCCTTGACGTTGCCCATCGTCGACAGCCTAAAACCTTCGACCATCGATGTGACTCGTCTCACATCAGTGTTTTGGGGTTGTGAACTTGTCTAAGACCCCCCATAATTAGACATCCAAATTCAAAATTCACATAGTTGGGATTGATCATAAGATGCCTTCTCTAACTAAACAGAGAAGGGGGAGATGCCAGAAGCCAGGACCCTCGCCCTTACCCTCACCCCCTACCTTTCCCCACCTGCACAATGTCCTCTGAAGCTTGGCAACTGCAAGATCCTGCTTAGCAACTGCAGATAGACTCAAAGCAGGGTACCATATCTTCTTAAGAATAGCAGGGAGACCATAACTCAAGCAGTGTACCATATCTTCTGAAGAACAGCAGGTAGATCATAATTCAAGGCAGTGTACCGTATAGACCATGACATGTTTCAAGGCACAGGCCAAGAAGATTTTGTACTTTTCCACCACCTGGCCCCTCTTACCCCCTCCCCTTGTAAAACATGCTATAAAAAAGCATTTCATGTTCAAAATAAATAAATTATTTATAAAAAAAAAAGAAAATATATTTGGCTATTGAAATGACCCGAATGAATCCATATTTTTCCCTTTCTTGGTTTTTAATATATTTTATATACTTGAAAGTTTACAGGAAGTTCTTAGATTAATACAATAATTGGGCTTGTTCCTGTCCTAACATTGTATTATTTAAAACATGGGACTTGGGATGTAGCTTAATGGTAGAGCATGCATTTGTGTTTGTATCAGGTTCTGATAGGAGACTCTGCCCAAAAAAATCAAAACTTAAAACGGTTTTGAGGTTCAGTGATTTCTTTTGTAATATTCTGTGTAAATGTCTATTTCAGATTACTATATGTTTGAGATTTTATTTACTTTTATCTGACGTGTATGGGTTTTGCCCATGTACATTCCTGGGACTGGAGCTGTGAGCTGCCATGTGGGTTGAACTAGATTTCCTGGAGGAGCAGCCAGCATGCATAGCTTTGGAACCAGCCCTGTTTCAGATTATTTATCAAAAGGTTATGTTTTAGGAACATTTATAGTGTTACCTGCTTTCTGTTAATAGGAAGATCATCATTTTCCTTCTTTATAAAATCCCTTCCTCTCTGTCTGCACACCAGCCTGCTTTCTCAGGGTTATATTTCAATAAAGATAATATATTACCATTGAAAGTGTTAAAATATTTTATGTGTTTCGAAAACCAGTTTCTTATTATTTTTATTCTCTTTTCCACTTCAGACATTTCATAAGATGCAAATATAATTTGAAGAAAAAGTGCCTGGAATCATATTTAATGTAAAAAATGGACACGTTTAGTTTCATATGAACCTACATGAAGTGACATCCCAGGCGTTCCTACAAGTGGAGTCCTGCAGGAGGAGGGAAAGTTTCTTACTTACCTTATGGACACAATAAGTTACAGTAATTTTTAAGATCATATATTGTAAATAAAATATTTAAAACTGTGCCTTATTTTTTCTAGGCATATTATTTTTGTATGGTTAATATTGTGTAGTAAGTATTTAATTATGTGAATTGTATCTCAGTACTACTGTAACTACTGTATATAATTTTAGTAATATGTTTGTCAGATATTGTGTTCAGTTTTGTAATTCTTATTTACTATTTAAAAGCCTTTATTAATAACTTGTTGTCTTTATGTGCATTAAGTTGAACTGTGAATTTTATTAAAACAGGAATATGAAAAAAATTGTTATTTCTTTTCATGAAAGCTATTTGAGTAAAGTAATACTATGGAAACCTGATATATATATGAAAACACACACATACACACACACACACATATATATATGAAGTAATTTTTGTTTTTAGAGATTAGATATCATGGTTTTGCTATCTTAAATAGAATAAAATTTAGGTGGTTTTGGATAGTTGATATGTGTGCCAGGGAGTGAGATGATTGTTTGTTTTCTGGACTTTTTCTTTGAACAACAACAAAAATCATACTTGGATGCATTCAGTGACCTTTACTTACTTACAAGAAAAACCCATGACAAAACACTTGAAAAGCCCTATCTTTTCAGAGAATAGACAAAACCCAAGTTTCTTAGTGATGTGTGAACAGTACAAATGCTGTCTATGTGCTGTTTTGAGAAAGGGTCTCAGGTAGCCCAGGCCAGCCTGGAACTTGCTTTGTAGCCAGTGATGACCTCTCACTTCAGACTCTTCTACCTCCTGCCTGCTGATGTGACCAGTGTGAAGCCCTGTGCCTTGCTCAGCAAAGATATTGGAAGTTGTTGTTTTAATCACCTCTCAACTGTTTATATTGGTGTTACAAAGAGCTATAGGCCACTCTCACTTTTCAGCACCTTTGATTTTGTTCACCACTGAATATATGGTATGCATTTATGTGTTTATGTGCATAATCCTTTGTCTATCAGTGAAAGAAAGACACACTCACAAGTGTCTTTGGCTTTAGAAGTATTATGGAAGTACATTATAAATTTTAACATTTGTATAGGCAAAGATTTACAAAGATCATGTGAAAAAATCCCAGAGAAGCCAGGCATGAGGCTCACACATGGAACACTATCTCTTGAAAGCTGAGGCAAGTCATAAGTCATAAGTTCAAGACCAGAGTGGACAAAATAGCAAGATCCGCTATCCTAGTTTATTTCTCTTTTGATGTTTCGAAACACTGGCCTAAAGCAAGCTGGGGCAGGGGGATTTTTTTTTTCTTCTTACATGTTATCTTTGTGAGAAACCAAGGGAGGAACTCAAGGTAAGAGCTTGAAGCTGAAACTGAAACAGACCATGGAGGAACACTGCTGAAAGTCTTGTTCCTAGGCTCACATTCAGCTCGTGTTCTCTCTCTCTCTTAATGATTTCCTTAATTTTATTTATATTAATAAATATAAATATAATTATTTCCTTATTTTTATACATATTAATATTTTGCCTGCACACTTGTCTGGTGCCTGCAGAAACTAGAAGAATGTGCAGTGTCCCCTGTAACAGGAGTTATGGCTAATTTGTGAGCTGCCATCTAGGGGCTGAGAACCAAATCTGATCCTTTACAGGAACAGAAAGTGCTCTTATGTTGAGTCATCTCTTCAGACCCATCTACATTTCTTATACAGCTGTCTAGGAATGACTAGGAATGGTACAGTATATAGAGGGCTGGGCCCTCCTACATTATGTAGTGATCAAGAAAATGTCCACATGCCAATCAGATGGAGGCAATTATTCAACTGAGGGTCCCTCTTCTCAGGTGTTAACAGGTTGATAACCAAATTAGCCATCACATGTCGTCTCAAAAGAAAAAGACCTTAGTAGATCTGATACCTGCAGTAATGCCATATAATACTGATTGGAAAGGCTAGTGTGCTTTCAATTAGCTACCTTTATCACAGTGATTATATTAACTACTTTGTAAAATGAAGTAGTTTTGCATATAACTACGAAGAGATGAATAAGCTATTTAATAATGGAAAATAGGAACTTATTGATGGGATGTCGCAGAGACAGAAGGGGCTTTGTGATTAATATAGTTTCAAATGCTAAGTTATTTGAGATTAATTCTATAAAATTAAATTTACCATATTTTCATAGTTGACTAGTATCTTTCAAAAATGTATTCTATGCTATATATTTTTGAAGCATCCACTCAGGTTAATTAAAAATAGCAATTAAGATAATGTTGATTTTACTTTATGACACACATTTTCTCATTGTATCAATTTAAACATAGGTTGAAAATAAGAGACTGGTCATTTGTATTTATAAAGAAAAGTTTCTTTTTTGAGAAAACGATGGAGAGATAAATAAGGAAAAATTACAAGTTTCCTTTATGACATCCACACATAAGGGAAGTGCTCTTGTTCTATAAGCATCATGACAGGAGGTGACAATGTGTTCTGAGCGTTTAGAACTGTGTTATCAAAGCGAGTTGTTCTGACAGTTAAACCTTGAGTTGTCTAATTTTCTAACCGTCAACCTCTTTCTCACATAGTTTCTTGAAGAGCCAAGATGATGTTACCAAAGCTAGACACTTGAAGCACAAGACTCAGCTGCTCTGTTCCTGCCTAGAAGGCATGGGTTCTATCTCAAGTGCTGAGGTGTGTTATTCAAATCTGACAGAATGAAAGAGACATAGTTCAACAGTTTGAGGGACGGATGATTGGGTTTTATTGATTCCTACTTTTTGCAGTAATGATGACCTGGTTGGAAAGACTACCCCATCCCCATTTCCTTTATAATTTGCTTCACAGTCATCTAGTCTTTGGTCTGTGCAGTAGGGTAAGTGTTCTATCTACCTGCAATAAATAATGCCTTCAAGAAATCAAAACTGTCTTTTGAAGTAGTTCTAGAGCCTAGAACAATGCCTGGTTCATAATACATAGTTTATAATAAAAACATGTCTCAAACTTCAGTGGATGAGATTAAGGAACACATTGCATCTTCAAATGTGAAAACCAGATGGTGATTCAAGAGACACTAGAGAGATGGGCCCACATTTAAAAGCACCAGCTGCTTCTTCACAAGTCCAGGGTTCAATCCCCTGTACCCACACAGTGGTTCACAACAATCTGTAACTCCAATACCAGGGGATCCAATGATCTTTTCTAGCCTCTGAGGACACCTTGCATGCACATAGTATACATACATACATGCAGGCACAACACCCATGCACATAAAATAAAATTAAAAGAGGCATTAATGAAAAACTGTTGAGTTATTATGGATACTGATACATTTATGTGAGGGCAATGTTTACCTACTAGGATACTTTTCTACTTCATTTCTACCCTATAGTTGCTTTAATTTTTCCAACTAGTTGGCACTAACATGGTACTTAAACTTCTCTGGCTATTTACCTTGGAGTTGTGTCTTAGTTCGGTTTCTATGGCTGTGATAAACACCATGACCAACATTGATGTGAGGGGGAAAGAGTTGTTTTGGCGTACAGGTCACAGGCCAAAGTAGGAACTGAGGCAGAGGCCTTGACAGAAAGCTGCTTACTCACTTACTTCCCACAACTTGCTCAGCCTACTTTCATATGTAACCTAGAACCACCAGCCAAGGAATGGCATGGTCCACAGTAGGTGAGACCTCCCACGTCAATCATCAATCAATAAAATGCCCCACAGATATGTCCACAAGCCAATCTGATAAAGACAATTCCTCTGCTGAGGGTCCCTATTCTCAAGTGTGTCTAGTTTGTGTCAAGTTGACACAAGATAGAATCTGTACCAGGTGGTTAAGGAAATGATGGAAATGGACCTTTCCTTTGCTTTGGTTCTTTGCTTTGGTCCATGTGGTGAGGTCAGGATCCCTTGGGTTTCTGTGAAAGCTGGAACCTATATTTATTTATTTTTATGAGTACTATCTCAATTTCTGTGTGTTGGAATTTAATTATAAGAACTTCAATATATTGGACAAAGTTTTAAAACACTGTTCCTTTTTGGCATATAAACCATCTTCTGAATTCGGACATTTCTTCAGTTTGACTTTTCTTCATAGTGTTTCAAAGAACCAGGGACTTTTTTCTGTCTTGTCCCAGGGAAGTTTGGCAATGCGTTTTTGATTATTGCCTTGGCTTCAGCCTGGCAACCCCAATAGCCCTGCTTCTGAAAACTACTCCTGGGATCAGGGATAAGTTTTGTGTAGCTATAGCTTCAAGTTTTTCAGACTCCCAAAGGACCTTTTGACAGAAGTAAAAATCTTGATTCTTTCTTAGTAATGGGTTGGTGGTACATTTCTGACTCTTAGCGAGTTAAGAAGCTGAGTCTGACTTGACAGAGTGGAAGCTGGAAGCACGTGGAGTAAAAGATACAAAAGTGGTCCAGATGGGAGGAGGGACCAACCTGGGAGGAAGGAGCTAGCAATTGCAGAAAGTTTAGCAAGGGTTTCAGGATAGTTGGGCTGAAGAATAAATAGGGTTAAGAAGTGGGTCATGAGCACAGGTTGCTGGTTAAGAAGAAGGAGCAGAGCAAGTAAGGTAAGAGAGGAGGCAGTGGGGTGGAGCCAAAGTCATGGCCCACGTAGTTCTTTAGTTTGTCACTGTTATTGATAGAAGTGCAAAGAATCAGTGGAGTTTTCCAAGAAATGGAGAGAAGGGACTCTAGAACAAGGATGGAAAAACTAAGATTCATTGTAGGTCAAAAACTGCATGCCAACAATAGTAAATTTGAGGGTAATTCCTTTTAAAAAGAGTTGATTTCATAGACAAGTTGCCAAGCATCTGTGCCTTCATTTTCTCATTCAAATGGGAGCAGAAACAATTCCTACCACAAGAAGAAGATCAGTTATCGTTAAAAGTACTTAGAAAAGTACCCAACACAAACCGAGGCATGGACGGTTAACCAGATCTGACATCTAATCTGAGTTGTGCTGATGTTACTGAACAGGAAAAGGGATGTGCCTAATGGAATTGCCCTCATTTTCTGTTAGCTCATTTAGGCATGGCAGGAAGAAGAAAATCTAGGTCTCTATGTAAATGTAGTATACTGCACGGCTGTCAAAAAATGTCTTGCTCTTTCTTATCTGCTCAACACTCAGAGAACAGCTCTGGCCCTGTCTTCCAGCAGTGTGTGCTGGAATTGAAGCAGCTCAGCCTTGCTTGGGTTGATCTGAAAATCCAAACTTTTAAACACTCCTCAAGCTGGACATGGGCATGATCACAGATGAATAATTTTATATCTGGCCTGTGACCAGTCAAAATGCAGTCAGACTAA